TGCAACATACCAGAAGTCAGAAATGCTTTTAAAAGCGGTGAAACAATTATCCACGATAACTGAACATCGACATTCGCACTCGTAAAGCCGTGCGATTTTCCAATAAATCCAATCGGGACAAATTGATATACCTCAGTAAAATCACTGAAATCTTTTAAGATTAAGATTAAGCTGTTAAAACAGCTGTACGACCATGTTCGAAAATATGTTGACTTGTGCTATTATGTACAAGCTTTGAAGCGAGACCTGCAGTTTCTATAGCTGAGTGGGACAAGGACTATTTAATTCTTATTTTAATCAGGTTTTTTTCGAAAAGAATTTATTTTCGTAGTCATGTTTTACTAAGCTAGAAATCTAATACATTCAGACACCAACTGAAAATAATCATGTTCTGTCACTGACTTCAACATTGCCAAATATTCGGCTATATATAGAGCGCTGTACCAGAATCACAGGATCACAACATAGACCGCCACAGGTTCGATTCCTGGCAAAGGAGATGTTCTAAAATTGTGGGGGGGAGAGGTGTTCTAAAATTAAAAATGTGTATAAACTTGCGTTTGAACATACATTCCAACAACAAACGAACCCATGTGAATGAAAAGACTCTACATGCTGCCTTGTAATGTTTATTGCAACTCACCAATAACGATTACATTTACACGTGTGACTATACTGTTAATTAACTATCACTATAATCTCAGGGAAGCCTCACATATCGATTTTGTTCTCGAGAAACGTCATATGGACGTTTGGGGGTGGGGGTTTGCAGTTGTGACGTTTCTCTGTAAAACATCATGGAAAAATTCGATAGTTTTTTCGAAAACTTTAACATTCCGCAGAATATAAAAAAGGCTACCATCGAATCATGTGCGGCTAGGATAAGACTCCCTCACTAACGTAATTTGAATTGAAACTCAGACAAATGTCTCGAAGACCGGTCAAATTCAATAGTAGAAAATTACCTTGTGTACTATAAGAACAAAATATCGATAACTATGACTATGTTGTTAGGGTTGGGCCTTGGATGTGGGTAAAAGCTTGATGATTTTGTTGCCTATCACAACATAAAAATAGCCAAAATCTATTTTATCTCATCAACCTGCTGTAAGCTGTATCAACTTGCAATTTAGACCCTCAGTATTTTCCATTGGTCGTGGCTGTGGTGAGCAAGTCAAATTGGCTGGCGTGAAATAGTCTGGACTTTTTTTGTAGATTGCCAAAGTACACTCTATTACATGAGCAACCTTGACATGTTGCGACAAGTCTTTGCGCGACTCTCTCTCGTAAAAAGAATTTACATGAATTTCTCATGATTAAAGATTCAAAACCGTTACTTACCACTGAAAGTCAAAAGTGTAATCAAAAGTGTATGACACTTGAGGCGAATAGGCAGATTTAGTGACAACTATCGCAGAGCTGGTGCATGGTGTTCAACCGACAATTTATTAGTTTATTATAATCATAACAACATTCCTGAAGTTGACTACCATTTGCGGCCTCGTCATGCTTATTGAAACTCACCGATAACATTTACATTTACAAGAACGACAACACCGTTAACTATCAATAATCTTAATCATCCTTTGATTAATGATTTGTACTTTTAATATATTTTAGATATAGAAAAGTGAATGATGCAACATACCAGAAGTCAGAAGTGCTTTTCAAGGCGGACAAACAATTATCCACGATAACTGAACTTCTACATTCGTATTTATAAAGCGGTGTGATTTTCTAATTCACCGGCAGATCAAAGTAAACTACAGTCCAATTTCAAATCCTATCGGGACAAATTGATATACCTCAGTAAAATCACTGAAATCTTAACAGCTGTAAGACAAAGTTGAAAATATGTCGACTCATACTGGTATCATTCGCTCCGGCAGCAATTATGTACAAGTTTTAAAGCGAGACCTGCATTCTATAGCTCAGTTGGATAAGAGACTATTTAATTCTTATTTAAATCAGGTTTTTTTGGTAGAGAATTTGTTTTCGTAGTCATGTTTTACTAAGCTATAAATCTTATACATTATCAGACATCAACTGAAAATAATCATGTTCTGTCACAGACATCAACATTGCCAAATATTCGGCTATATAGAGCGCTGTACCAGAATCGCAGGGCCACAGGTTTGATTCCTGGCAAAGGGGCCTGTAGTTGCATTTTTCGCAGCTGCTTCTAGTTAGGTCTAAAATTAGCCTGTCCCAAAAGAGATCACAGTGCATTCTGGGATCGTTTGATTGACAAAATATATGGTGACAGGCGTCAAATATGTGAAAGAGTAGAAGTATCTACTATCAAATATCTCCTTTTTACATTGGACATTTAATTTAAAGGTGCAGTGCTGCCATATTTCTTGTCCCTCCAACATGGGATTCGCGCGACTTGACCCAGGACTTTGAGAAGTGACTAATTAAAAATGTATATAAATTTGCGTTCGGAAATATATTCCAACAACAAACAAAGAAGTCATGTGAATGCGAATACTCTGCTTACTTCCTTGTACTGTTTATTGCAACTCACCAATAACTAACGATTACATTTACATGAGCGACTATACTGTTAACTATCACTAATCTTAATCGTCGTTGGATCAATTATTTGTATGTTTAATATAATATTTAGATAGAAAACGTAAGTGATGGAACATACCAGACGTATTATGACATAGGCGGAGAGGCAATTATCCAAGACAATCCTTGACATTCGTAGACGTGGCGGTTTGAATTCTGATTCACTGTATAGATCAAAGTAAGCTTAAGCCCACAGACAACATTAATCATGATACTTTGATCAAACATATACCTCAGTAATATCACCGGAATCTTAACAGCTTAAGATCATTTTTTTCACAAGTTGACTTTGATCATTCGTTAACAAATATGTTCAAGCATTGAAGCGAGGTCAGTTTCTAAAGCTCAGTGAGATTAGAGATTATTTCATTCTTATTCAAATACGTTTTTTTCCTTAATTTAATTTAAAGAATTTGCTTTCGTAATCATGTTTATTGTCGCTAGAAAGGCCATTACACGAGAGCAACTGAAAATTAATTATTTTGTCACGGATTTGAATATTGGAGAATGCAACTAGAACGTTATAAAACCTTCCCTTGGCGGCTGTTCATATAGAATGGGGCTAGCCTGCTTACCGGGATGATTTGTTTAAGCTCTTATCACGGGTTTGATAAACATCCAAAATCTCATTTCGAATTGAATTAGCTTTAAAGTTTGATTCCAGTAACAGTATAAAATTCACTCAAACGATATTTTATGGTACGTCAGGAATACATTTTCTTGACACGATTCATCGATTCGGCCTGCCGGTAGCCTGCATATAGTAGTCGCTTTATTTATCGAAGGTTTTGAGGATTTTTGAATAAATGGCGGGTGTATATAAAGCGGCTGCTACGTAGGCTAGCTAGCAGGGCTGGTCCGGCTCATACACGGGTAAAATTCTAGTTAATAAGGAAATTATTGGGCAATCATACTTGAAGGATCAGCAGCCGGGTTTTTGGAGGCAGGACTTGCGGACGGAAAATTTAGGGGGGGGGAGGGCGCGCAGGCGAAAAAGGCTAGGTATTGCACTGCATTGCATTGTGGCTAGGTATTGCACTGCATTGCATTGCATTGTGGGCTTGTGTTGCTGTTTTTATTTGACGTAACTGCAACAAATAACTATGAAAATATTTTGTTTCGTACATTTCCATTATGACTTGAATAACAAGAGCATGGATTACCTATAGCCCGCGTGCAGGCCCAAGGGAGCAGGCTCAAGGGAACTTGATAGTGGGCCTGCAAGCAAGGCCCGGTATTTTGTAAA